ACTTTTTGGCAATGGAAACAAATTTTATAATCAATTGTGAAAAAAAATATCACTTTAATGTATAATTTTTATGTAAAACCAATCCAAACGAATAGAAAATTTAAAAATTTTTCGGGTGGAAAATTATACCAATCAAACACACTTGAAATCTTTTCCCTGCAAAACATTTTCTAGGCAAATCTTTTCCCTGTAAACCATTTTCTTTCCACCCATTTTCCACCCTTTCAATCAAACGCATCCTAAATGTTAACATAAATTTTGACACATTTCAATATTATTTATCATTCATTCCAACCATATGTACCAGAATATATATCATATATTTTTCTTGGCCGGCAGATGGAAATAACGACATGTTCATTATTTGTATTTGGGATATCAATTTTGATGTTGATTGAATAGAGAAAATTTTTCCTGTCTAGGAGCGATTTTCACAAGATTTTAATCCAATTTTTGACCATTAAAAATGTAGGTAGGTCCCATCTGTGGCGTAATTATTGACTCAACATGAAACAAATTACAAGGAATGCTCTTTTCTCAAAATCGCTAAATTAAATTTTAAAGGGGTACATTGACCATTCTACTTGATTCAGTCAATAATTACAGCTGCCCTATCTCTGTCATACACTGTATAACCGTATAAAATTCGCTAAAAATATGATAAAAATTGCTCCCAAACAGGGTCTTATTGAAACCACTAAATTTGTTGTTTTGGAAACGTTTTGCACCTATTTTGATTTATAATCATAATTAGTTTAACTTAATATTCATAAAATCACTTATCCACAACTCCTTTCTATCTATTTTAACTTAAACAAATTATAATCTATTTCCAAACATGTAATGTAGTATAAAACGTTTAAAAATTCTTGTTACAATAAAAATATCATGAGTTTCTCCGTTCACTAAAAAAACCTAAGCAATTACTTTTTCCTTTAATGGGAAAAACAAACCAAATGAAAGTTCAAACATCTTTCTTTGGATATCAAATAGAGAAATAGCAATTTAAAATGATTAAGCGATAAAGGAGATTGCTTGACGGATGAAATTTTAGCATGCTTTATATTGTTGGAAACACGAAGCTTTGATTGAACAAGATTTTCATGGAATGCATGAAGAACATGTATGGAAGCGAAAAAGTGGATGTACTAAGCCCCTTTTTCGTATTGATTAAAATAAAGATATTAATCTAAATCAAAGTCAATAATTACTTTTAACAATACATTTCATCTAAAACTTGATTTATGAAATTCTTCAAGAATCAGATGCAATTTAGATTTGTGGATACTGATTAAATCCATGATGAATGAACACTTCTATTAGGACGACGTGTTCCTGTCTAACCTTTGTCGAAGGCAGTAAAACATAAGGTCTAATGCTCTAGATTAGGGGTTCAAAGAAAGCGTAACTAGAAGACTAACTACATAACAACCCATTCCATACCGAAATGGTGGATTAAGCTCATCACAAAATGAGTAACTCACAATGAAACATGCATACATGAATCATTGATATAATAAAAGATATATGTAAGTTTTGACTCTAATAATCCCCTTCTACTGTTCTTTCTTTTCCTCAGTTTTATAACTTGTTATTAGCACAAATACTATTTTTTAATTGATGACGATGGAAAAGTTACCATTCACATAGTACACCAAAAGTGTAGGTTTTCTTCTTCGATTAGTCCACGTTCAATTTAATCTTGTACAGAAAATGTGTCCACATACATTTTTAGTTGTTTTACGAGAATATATATATTTTGATTCATGATATTCATTAATGTTGTGATCACTGGCTGAGCCCGCGGGGTGTTGGGGGGGGGGGGGGGGGGCCCCGGACCCCCCAAATTTTTGACAATTTTTTTTTTAAATTTTTTTTTTTTTNTTTTTCTGGGGGCAGCGCCCATGGCCCCCCCACCTCTTCATCTCTATATCTTCAATTCTGGGACCCCCATACTTCAAACGGCTGGCTCCACCCCTGGTTGTGACTGATAACTGTATTTTATACATTTATTCGAGTTTAAAATAGCGATATTTGATAGTTTTTTTGATAAAATATATTCTAAATTATTGTATTTTATATTTAATAGGTGAAATTCTATGAATGAAAAAGGAATTGAAGGAAAGAAGAAAGAGGTGACGAAAAATGACAAAATCCAAAGTATGTAGACTAAATTGGCATTGGTTGCACAATTAAGTAGACTTAAGGATTGAATTGCAATATATTAAAAGAATTGAGGATTTAGAGAAAAACTAATTTATTAATGGGCCACAAATTAGGGGCTGAATTGAAGGGAAATATATATGGAAAATGCTAAGTGTACATTAGGGGGTACATAAGGGTGTCCATAATGGACACCGGCGTCCCCCTATTGGATGAAGTGCTGGTCCCACCTGCACTCCATCCAATAGGGGAGCGCCGGGTGCCAATTATGGACACCTTTATGTATCCCTTAATGTACTTGTAGTATAACTCAATATATATATATACACACACACACAAACATGCAGGAAGAAGCGGGGGCTGGATTGAACTAATTATCCATACACAGGAAATCGAAGCAGAATAGATTTACAGATATATACACGCATACTAAGGCTGGAATTTGAATGAAGATTGGGCGGCTGCTTGGGAATAAAAAAAGAATTAGCCACAACTGAGAAGATGACGGCTAAGAAAATAAAAACATATACACATAGAAGACGAAAACGGAAAAGGACGACAACTTCAATTTGGAGAATTATTTACGTTTCGTCAATTTTGGTGATGTCGTTTCACTTTTTGCGTGTTAAATTTCGACATAATGTTAGGCTAGATTTTTACAGTCCTAAAATATAGATGAACCATTGTTTTGAAATTTTTAATATTAATTAATTATTTTGACGACTAGTGTGTGTATTTTTTTGGATGTTTATTATTATTTTTACCAACTTTTCAATTAATTAGCTACTAATTGAGATGATTTATTGTAATCTATTATTATTGAGATAGATAATATGTTTTTAGCTAAAAATAATAAACATTGTAAAGTTCGATGGAGGATAGAGATATTCATCTATACTTTACGTGGTTTTCGTAGCTGTTCTAGGTCGTTTAATGCACTTATCATGTTCACATCTTCCATCGAGAGATATGAAGGTCACATGAATGGAATATATTTGATAACCATCAA